TTCCAGTGCAGGGACTCCCCCCCCCCTTAATTTGTCCTCTGGCTTCTGGCGATTACAGTCTATTGACTACCTTCGACAAACACAAGCCATCTAGTCGGGCGCGAGAGGACTCCCCTACGAGGAAAGACCGCTGCTAGCTTTAAAAGATGGTAAAAACTGAGAACGTTGATCGCCTAAGTGGTGTGGGTGAAACCCCGAACGCTTCCTTAGTCCGATGTGAACGGGGCGCGGGTATAAATAGCGCAAACGGCACCTCTTAGCCCTCCTGCTATTTAGTTGAATTCAAGTTTGTCATCCTAAGGAATTATGTAACACTGAATTCCCCCTCCGGAACATAATAATGTGTGCAGGTTACGCCAGAAAGAATTGAATTCCAAATGCTCGCGAGGCAAGAAGTGACAAATTACGTAGAAAGTACAACGAAGAACCAACTATGTAGACGAATAATGATTAGGGTAATGAAGAAACTATGGTCTGTGTTAAGAAGGAACGTAAAGAACGCCTGTACAGAACATGCAGTAAAATCAGGAATATATACAGTCGGCATTTCGCACAAAGGATTATGTAAAAACACGAGAGATGGACCTGAATGATATGCAGCTTCCTCCATCATGCGAAAAAACTTACTTTTCCCCGTTCAACAAAGTTGGAAATCATAACGATGATTGAGCAGTTCTCATCCCAAATCATCTGCCAGAAGTCATCAAAAGTTGACGACATTGGGCCCTGCGCTGCAATATAAGCCTTCGGTCGGTGGAAACCCTAAAGAGCAAGATGTGATAAGAAAATATAGGGAGCTTAACTGCATAAGCAAGTTACACAAAAAAGGAAATCGGAGGGAAAACACACCCCGAATTTTGTAGAGAGAAGTATATTGATTAAGACTTTTGCTCCCAAAATGTCACATTAAATTCCAGGTAAGGCGATAGGAAGTACTTTAAATATCAACTCGACTCACAATGAACCGCACGTTATTTTAGAATTATCGGCGTTCAGTGCCCAGTCCAGTGACCGGTCCAGTGTATGGGAATCAAATGAAACGAAACACGAGCAAATTCTCGGCAAAGGCATTTATAATAGGGAGCTCGTCTGTAGGCCCTTACAGACACCGTTATTTGTTCTCCATGGTCGCAAAACAACCTTACAGACTGGAATGGAATCGGATTATTTTGAGAAAATAATCAGATATTGTCGAACTTACTACGTCCACTTCCATTCCCTTGCACTCCAGAAGCAAAACTGGGTCTGAAGACGAGAATAGGACGCAGTTGCAACCTAGGAATTCATCACCCGCCCTCCACCCCCAGTCCCGAGCCTGCCAGATCTACTCTCAGAATAATCAGATTTTGTCCGGGCAGCACCCAGTAGGCCTGACGCCATAAGGCCACCCATTTTAGGGAACAAGCCAATCAGGAGGCCTATTGCCGCAGGGGCGAAAATCACTTGATCGACAAAAGCGAATGCAGCAGATTTGCGTAGTCACAAGGACGACAAGAAATCGCAAAAAATAATGGGCATAGTTGGCATAGATCATCGGAAAGTGGATAGGAAGCAGCATGACAGAAAGTGTACTCCCTTACGTCAACGTAATTGGCATTTATATAGTCTGATCTTCTTCCATGAGGGTTCTTCAGCACAACGCGGGTGTGATCGTCTGTGAAGGGGGTTGGGGAAGAGGAGGAAAAAAAAGCGGGAAGATTTAAACGTTAGAAAAGTCGGCCCTGCTTCAACCACAGAAGCAGTGGAACAAGGAAGGGCTACTGGGATTAGGTTAGGGTTGTTTAGGATTAGGGTTTTGGTTTAGGCTGGACTACGGTTAAGATTGATGTTAGAAGTAGGGTTCGGGACGGGGACACGGGAATAAGTAACCTTCCTGCAATTATGCGCAGGGCCACTGTTATCACTTGAGTGCAACGCACCTGATTCCGGGTTCCGAATCAGGCGAGGCAGATAAGTAATCCTTACCCAGGAATAACCCTAAGCATTCGAAAGACAACTCCAAAGAGGCTTCCCAGTCTCGAATTATTGAACCGATGGCACAGCCAATCGTCAATCTGCCTTAACCGACTTTTTCCGCGTACATTTTCGGAAACGAGTCACTTTACCAATGCCCTCAATAATATGTTCATTCCAGCCATAACACAGATATGACCTAGCTTCATCACTGGGGATAATAACGTTCTGTACATTCGCTTAACCGCCCATAGGTTACGTCCACTTCAAGCGATCTCGGGAATGGCAGAGGACAGTGAAATAACCAGAGCAGAGCATATGAAAATATCCACACACATGGGGAAATCGAAAATCTTGAACAATCACTGAAAACACGCAAGCTGACAAACGGGAGAAACAAGCAGGCTCGATGACTTACAGGCGAAAACATTTGAGTAACGGTTCTTCTGCATATTCTCGGGAAGCCGTGCAATTGCCGTAGGCCAGTTGGTACGAACATTCTGCTCTATGGCCTAGAGATGCCACAAAGGAAAAATTATAAATAATTCCCATATTAACTATTGTAAAAATATGAAAAAAAATGTCAAAGGCCATCGCGACGTCCTAAACAATCTCACCTTGCAGTATAAGTGTCAGTGCATGACTGTGCATTCGCCTCAATTTAAATATCATACATGCGTCAAGTCTTTAAATGACACTATTCCGGTTTAACGCACACGGATACCTCATCTCTACGATTTTACAGACGATCTAATAAGGAAAGAGTCATTGTAATCCGACTCTCGCTAAATGACCTCCTACGAATCACGACCTTGAGTTTACCATAAAAGCAAACAACAGATCATTTACCCTATATGTGATATCTTCAGTCAAAAGTACGCTGCTTACGAAGCATTGCGCTCCAAAAGGGTTAACGGCGATCAGATAAAAAACGTTCTCCCTATACGCACAAAAGTTGGTGCCAGGCATCTCAAGCAGACATACGAGACGGCTACAGTCTATCCTTCCCGCTTCGCAGGCATATAAACATACAGTGCTACAAACGGCAAAGTTTTCCCCTGGTAGCCAAATGGAACACTGCTAGTGCTGCCGTGTACGACAATGCCTGTGCGGGACCAGAGGAACTTCAAAGTGGTCCTGAACACGAGCCGATTGATTTTGGGCCCAGTGTAAGGAGAACAACGACTTTACGCATTCACCTCTGCGGGGCCGCGACAAGAGATAGGAATCGCGATGTTAAGAGTTGAATATCCCCTAGTTCGGTAATGAGATCGGTTGACCGAGGTCTTCGTATACTGCACAATCGAGACCAGACTGACGATAGGGCAATAAAATGTCAGCACAGACGGCAACCACCAAATTCAGGGAAAGAACGAGAACGCATGTGCGTGATGTTAATTGTCATAAATTACGCATACGGGCCACCGCCATGAGCGACTCGTAGGTGATGTTACTGGGAGGTTAATATTGCTACTGTGTACGGTAATGCATGTACGAGATCAGAGAGACTTCAACGTGATCCCGAGAACGAGCCAATTGATTTTTGGCGCAGTGTAAGGAGAACAACGACCTAACGCATTCACCTCCGCGGGATCGCGACAACAGATAGGAATCAGAATGCTGAGCGCTGAATATCACCTAGTCTGGGAATATGTCCATTTCACCAACGTGTTTCTTTATCGCACGAATGAGGCCAGATTGAAGCGAAGGCAAAAAAACAGCAGCACACAATCTAATAGATCATATCAGACGGGAACGAGAAAGCACGTGGTCATA